AGTATTTAAACACAGAATTCATGATGTTATTTAGTGGAAGTTACGGATGCTGTCCTTCACACATAATTTCAACATTATCTAATAGTGCTGGAGTATGAATCTGTACTTAATTGGTTATGCAAGCATTTACTGAATTTTCTTCCAATAAAAAGGCTTCAAAAGCTTCTTTAAAGAGTAAACCCAGTGATTTTCTGAAGTGTATTTGCAGTAGAATGATAAGTTCTTAAGATTAAAAAAAAAATAAATTTGTAATTGGTGAACGGTAGAGAAGAAAACAAGCTGTGTGCCTGTGCCTCAAGAGAAATAAAATTTTAGATGCATAATTATGGATTGCATTGAAATACAGATAGAGTTACGGGATTTTTTTACAGACAATATCATTTTTTTCCTGAGGACCTCAATGACTTTTGAAATAATTTCTCTGATTCAGTGCTTGAGTTATTTTTTTTATTACTAATCTGATTTACTATTGCAAGTTATGAATATTTTTCAGATATGAAAACGCTTCTGTTCAGATGTGCCTGTACTGAGGAGAAAATATCTCTAGAAATAATCAGCCAAGCAACAGCAAAGGAAAATGCAATATTCTATTACATTTCTTCTTTCGCAGATCTGTTCAGATCAGAGACCTGACCAAACTCCCTTCTGTTTTGTTCCAGTCCGCAGGGGCTGTCAAACTTTAATCTACTGGCATTTTAGCCAGGCACCAGCAGTGCTCTGACTAGCAGTCCTAGGCCCCTTTGCAGTTGATCTTCTGTCTAGCAATCCTTCAGTACTAGAAAAGCTGTCTTTTTTCATCAAATGAGTGCTTATTTTTCATGGTCCCTGTAGCTGAATCCCCTCATTCCAGCTGTGTGAGCATTCCTGGTACAGCTGAACTTCCCAGGGGGAGGAGATGGGTGTAGGCAAGACTTGCGTTGCAGTGGTGTTAGGAGCATACCATTAGTATTCACTGTTGACAGAAAGAATATGTGGTTTCTGACAAAACAAGGCCCATGTGCACTTCCCTGCCTTGTGGTCTTTACTATTCAGAAGCATTTATTAGCAGAAAAGAGATCTGCTGGTGCACTGCATGCTTCTATATGAGGTAAGGCATATTTTCTGATTGAGAAATTCCTTCCAGTGTATCTGACTTTCCCACTTCTTACTTGGTCATGTAAGTGAATTGGTCATCACTACTCCCCAGGATAGGCTGGCATCCCATCCTTGTTCTGTTGTGATGCTTTCCATTTTGACTTTTTGTTTTGACTTTTAAAAATATCTCTTACTAACTTTTATTCTCGCGGTCACGGGCTTTTCAGAGAACTTTAGCAAATTGATTTTTCTGCTCAGGTAGTACTTCAACAGATCTACTTTGACGAAGAAATAAGTATCAAGTATTCAGTATTAAGCTGAGTATTCTCATTTGCCATTTATTTGGTAGAGATACATACAGTCTTGTTGACAAAAAAGAAATATCCTGTTCTTCACAATATGTTATACAGCGCTTTTAATGACATCAAATGCATGCTACTAAAATATCAACCAGCTTTTTTAAGATGCATGGAAGTTCAGTTGATTAAATTGCCATTGGCATAATTTTGTTTAACTGACAGTGTGGAATACTTTTTGTTGAGACTATGAATTTCATCTGCAGCAATGTTGTGGTATGCTTCTCATAGGGCTTCTGAGACGTAATTCCAGGCCTATATAAACTATTTCCTTTTAGATCTACTGGGGGAAAAAAAAAAAAAAAAGAAGAAACCAAAGACTTAGGTATCTGATTAAATGGAAGTGTGTCAGTTAAGCACAGGAGAATGATTATATTTTGCTGTATCTAAATACTTTCGAGAAGTCTGCAGAAGAGAAAGACACTCTCCAAAGAAGAGGTAGGTGAAAAAATTAACTGTGAGTAAGAAAAAGGATAAATGAACAGAGAAAGCAGCATCTCTTTAAGGCTGAGTTACTCAAAAAAATCTTGAATCATGCTATATGTTTACTTCTGCATATGTGCTGTATTACATAGGTCATGTATTAACAAGTTAAAAATATTCTGAATTATCGGTGTTACCAGTCTCCCAAAGCTTATATTTTTATGAAAGACTTTTGGAGGATGTCAGGTGCAGATTCCCTAATATTGATAGTATAGTAGAAATTTCTGCCACGTGTTCCTCTTCAAATTATGTTTTGTAATATCAGAATACTTATTAATAGAGAATTGTAGGGTCATAGAATAATTTAATTTAAAGAGACCTTGGGGATCATCTGGTCCAATCCCTTGCTCTTCAAGCAGGATCAGCTTCAAGGTTGAAGATCAAAGACGCTTCAGGTTGCACTGGATTAACATTATTAACAAGTTCCTAGAAGTCAAGTTTTTGCACAAAAGAAGTGTCTAGGGGTGACAGAATGATGTGGTAGAACGCCTGTTGCTGTGCAAAGGCAGTTTATATTAATTGGCAGTTAATAAATAATTGTGATGCTAAGCTTAAAAGGAGAACTTTTTTGATACATGGCTTGTTTAGATAAATCCTCTAGTGTCGGTAAAGATGTTCCTATTATTTCTTTTAACTTATGGAAAGTGAAGTGCTGTTTCCAAGTAACTATGGACTTTGGGGAGCATAAGGCTGTTCGGTTTTGCTATCTTTTGTATCAAAATGGGTTCTGCAGCACCTTAGGTAAAACTGAGGGTAAAAAGCAATAAAAACAGCTTGAAAAAAATATTTTTTGCTTTAATTTTAGCCTCAAACATTAATACTTATTCAAGATGAGGAAAAACCTTTTGTGTCCCAATACTTGACTGCACTGATATGTAATAACTCAGACCATTTCTGTTTTGTAGGGTATAATGATAAATGTACTGTGAATATTAAAGACAAATAATTACTTTTAATTAGAACTTTTCATTTAGCTAGAAATGTGACCAGCTAGTGAGGCAGAGAAGCATTTCTACTTTGAAGCAATTTACCTCAGCACTTTAGATCTCAGGGTTTGTGTCCCTGAAGCGTGATTTTTTAATACTTTTTTTTCAGATTAATCAGAAATGATAATGGATTTTTCTCAATGTTTTCTTCAACATTTGAACTGCTGAATTACTTCAAAAGTAAGATACTTATGACTGAACTAGTTAAGGAAGACCTTTCAAGCTCCTGCAGAGCAACGTAAGATGTACATTTTCGGTAGTGGATAACAGATTAAGCCAGGTTACAGGCCTGGAGACTATTCAGGTAGCTTTATTTTCCAAGGGAAGTCATAAATACCAGGGAACCCTTTGGGTCAGACTGTTGTAATCTGCAGAGATGCTCTTCTCCCAGTAAGGAGCATTGTGCTTTGTAAAATATCAGTACTATATAAGAATTTCTCATGAGAAAGGAGCCTTATTCTGTTTATATCTAGTGTTGTTACTGGGATGGGGGCATGCGGAGGGCTACTTTCTCTTGCTGTACAGTATTGTTCTCTCCCTCTGTATTAAGATTACCCACTCAGAGTACTTGAAGCATAAAGTCTATAGAAACATTAAATTTTATATTACACTGTAAAATTGAGGCACAGAAGAAAATCTCCCGGTTCTTCATTCAGCTGTAGAGATTTCATGCGTTGCACATGACAGGGTTGTGAGTGAAGGGAGTTACTTTCCTGTGCCAGGCAATGTGATAGGATTGCGGCTCATGTGGTGAGCCTCTGTCCTTGTATCAGCTTGTATGATAAGAGTGGAGTCAAGCTATGAAGCACAGCCAGGCAGCACAGCCTCGGACCCATTACAGGGTGTTAATTCCTTGGCCCCAACTATGGGTGGTTAGCATGAAACAGGGCTGGATGGACAAAGACTCTCAAACACATTGCACGTGAAGATTCGTCTCTACAAGTGAAGAACAGAAAGGATACATTACGGTGATTTTTTTAGGAATAGCTCTAGCTGAGTATATATGACATACTGTCCCATGCACCTTCATACAATCACAGAACAAACTACTCTGATTAAACACCGTGGAGGGCTTCAGCCTTCTTACTGTGCTGAGTACATCCATGCTAAAAAATGTTGAGTGTGCTAACTGTCGAGATTTGGATGGTTTCCTTGGAAATCTGTCTTTTTTGTGGGAGGGAGGGCTGTTGGGATGAGCTGAATGTGAACATATGAGCACTGATGGGAACATGAGAATGGAAAGGACAATATGCATTCATTGCAGACTATTGGCAATGATTATAGGCAAACACATACTAGTTGCTTGATGCACAAGGGTCCAGAGTACATCCACACCATATGTCACAAGCCACAAAATGTTTCCTAATTCTGTGTACTAAAACACGGAATCAGAAAATCAAAAGCTTGAAAAACCCAACTTATGAAAACAATGGGCTGCCCATGGCCTTTGTCTATGTAACAAAAGGTAAATTGTTCAGTAAAAATTCCTTCTGGGGTAATCCTATAAAGTAGGATATGTTGCTAGTCCAAATGTGGTATTACCCATGTAGCACAAAAAAACATAATTTGTGTATGTGGAATCAGCTTTTGTGCTATTAATGCACTTAGAAGAATAATTCCAGTGTTTAGATCTTTGATCAGATACACAGACGCACAACTCCATGTTTTAGTAAAGTTTATCATTAAATAAATATGCTAGCTAATTTCACAAGACATACTGAAATGATTCAGAAAAGGTAATCGGTCATCAAATCACCATTTCATGTTTTTTTCCATAATTTAAAGGATAGAATTTGATATTTCTGACTAAATATGTGGCCTTTAAAGACTTTTTCCATTTTTTTTTTCTGATGCAAGTGTTGGAGGATAATAGTTTAACAGGTTTCAATGTTTTTGCCTGTGTACGACCAAATCTGTCACACAGTGAGAAAGGGACAGTTTAAGGTCAAGAAGTAAAAATACTTACACCCTTCAAAATACATGTATTATGTAATTGTAACTTTCACTTATTTTAATAAACAATTCCATAGTCACAATAAAACTTTAATTACTATGATTTTTACTAACCAAAAAACTTGGGTTTTAATTTAATGATTCAGTGATGGTTGTAAAATACCTTCAGAAATGGTCTATACTTAAGGGTAAGGTGTTGGCAAAGTAACTTTCCTCTTCTGCTCCTTGAAGTTAACGATTAAGCATTTTACTCAACTGCATATTAAAAAAGTGTATGTTTTATAGGTAGAAATATTTTTAAACACTTCGATGAAGTGTTGTGTGTGAACCTTCAGGAATTTCTAGTGACTTGCACTGAAGATGTATTTTTCTTTTCCTGTAGGTGATTATGGATCACTTTTGTGATCAAATTTTGCAATGCTTTTTTTTTAAATGTAATATGAAATCTGTAAATAATAACACAAGTACATTAAAAAGCTAGTGTTTCTTGTAGAGTGTAGTTGATACAGATTATAGGTAACTAGTAAACCATCATAATGAAATTCAGTGTTTTATTTTAATGATTAAATATTTTAAGGACTTGATACAAATGCTGAAAGAGTTCATTTTTATTGTTTCTAAAATGCTGAATGAAAGTTATGAAACAGATCTTCAAATTTATGAAATACCACTTATTAATCAACTCTATACCTGTCTCATACTGTATATCTAAAAGAGAAATCATTGAAATTTATGTCTTAATATTTGGAATGAAAATTATTTTTCTTCACCTTGATCATGGCAAATTATTTAAGGGCTCAGCTTGAGAGCATTACTGTGCTACTTGTTGATCCTTGAATGATTCTCATAGCATTTACAGTGTGAAGATAGAATTTCAGTATGTAAACAATTGTATTATCTGAATTATTTATATAAATATTACTGTAGGATGTTACACGGGTTCAAGTTCTCTGAACTGCATACAAACCTGTTAAAAGGACATCTTCTTTTGGGAAAACTTCAACCAAAAAAATTGATTGGGAATAAAAGTTAACTGTCAGCAAACTCAGACAAGAAAAAAAACAGTAAGTCAAAGTCAACACTTTGACACACTTCTTCCAGATCTGATTTTTTTTTTTTTTTTTAGAGATCACTGACAAGTAGCAAACAGCTGCTTCCTCCCAAAATTGGAACAGTTTAGTCAGAAACCGAGGCAACAATCTCTTAAATCTTCTGACAGGGTACCAACTATCAAATACTGGGCATCTTTCTTTACTGCAGGAATAAAATCAGAATCCCTGTTTCTGGGAGAGCTTCCAGACAAAGTACCTGAGGCACAGCCACCACCAGTGGGTGACAGGCAGAGCCCCGGGGATCGGTGATTGTACAGGGAACTGCAGCAGCCTTTGCGGCATGGTGGGAACTTGGCAGAGATCCAGTTTGGCCATACGGCTCTGAGGGCATGGGGTGGTTTGGCTTGCACTAAGGTGGATTGCCCCTTCACCTGACCAGGGAGAGCCTGAGAACAGTTTTATCATTTGGAAAAGTTTTCAGTATGGACTTGTTGCCTAAGGAAGTGTGTGTGTCCTGCCAAGATCTTCAAAAGGCTATAAAGTATGTGCATGCTTAGTGCTGTCACCTGGATGCAACAGCAGGTAATAATAATAAGATAAATCACCTTCAGTAATGAGGCAAATGAACAGCAAAGCTGCAGATGAATTTACCTGCTGGACTGCAGGTATATTCAGTTAGTGCTGAGGAGGGCATGTTCAGCTCCCAAGACTAATGTTGTAAACATGTAGCTGGTCCCAGTGCACTTGCCAGTGTCTCACTGTGTAACTCCGCAAGAATGTAGATGTGCTTTCCTCTCCTGAGCTCTCTCAATGACGTGAGGATGTAGGAGCAACCACAAGTCTGAAGATCATAGAAGTACACAAAGCTTAAGCTCTGGAAATAGGAAATAGGAAATAGGAAAATTGGTTTTACCTTCTCCACGATCACCTCTCACTTTTCATCCAGAATAGGGAATGAGTCAGATGTTCAGCATCATCAAAACCACTGAGGCAGTGTTTTCCCTTCCGCATGCCAATGGAAAGAAGACTGGCAGTAAGTAGGGGGCAGTTGTTCATTGTCACCAATTTGTTAATCCCTTACCCCTTCTCCATTACCCATGGTGCTCCTACTCTGAAGGCTGGTTTGTGCCAAAGAAGGGGGTTAGTGACACCAGGCAGAACAAACCTGAGCAAACTGAAAGGGTGAGAGCCTAATTTCCTTAAATGTTTTGACTTCTGAAAAGTAGCCTTTTCCACAATTGTTCCACTTACATAATGCAGAGGGTAATTTAAAACATTTTACTGATTTCTTGCACGTATGCTGCTGTACTTGCATGTCAGTGCTGTTTAATTTGTCTGTTTATAGGCTAAATTTCAAAAATTCTAGTATTTGCTGTTCTTTTTCTAACATATGTTTATTTTGCCTGTACTGATTTATTGGATTTTAGGACACTGCATGCTTGGTGAAGTGTCCTTATAGCAGGAGGGTTGCTAGAATCATATACAAAACAGCATGATTTTATACATCCTTCTTGTATTGTCTGTCCTACATTGCAGGAAAACTTGGGGATTTGGAGTGGGTTTCTTTAGTTAAAGCTTATAAAGAGATGAGATGTCAAAAAAGTCTACTAATATTAACAGAGCAGCACTGTTTCATTACCTCTTTATTTTAGCTTTTCTTATTATCAGTTGGCTTACAGCATGCTGAGCTGATTTCATTCTAGTGGCTTGACAAACGGGAGAAAGGAGGTGGGAGGAAAATGGTCCAAAACGGTTTGCTGTGAACCTTTATTTATTGATCTCATTAAGATGAGGGCCAATAGAAGAGTTATAAATAATTAATGCATAGTTCTACTTTTAAGAGTCTAAAAAAATTAGCTCTTTTGTATTTTGGTCACTACATATCATACCTAGCTGATCTGCAAATAAGGTTGGATCCCTTTCTATCAAGTGAACAATCCTAATGTTGAAGAAACTATTAATTGAATTTGTGGTGTGTGCTTGTATTTTTTCTGCTTACTAAGCCCTACGTACCAGAGCTGAAATCAATACATCGAGTTTTGTTCATCCTGGGGACGA